TTCCGCTGGCCCGTATTTTTTGAAGTTGACACAGATAAGTTTGCAATTCGCAACAAAATATAACTAGGAAAAAAAGGAGGCGAGAATAAATGATTTAACGTTTAAGGACATTCGAAGAGCAAAATGCATGCACCGCAAATTTTGTTGTCCTAAAATTTGGGTGAAATAACGGAAATTAGATAAATCTTATGCAAACAACAGCATTAGTAGCTTTTATTCAAGGTTACTTCTGTAATCGGGGGAAAGAGAGATGCGATTTTTGATTTTCTCGTGTCAACCTTGCCCCCAAATTGGCGCAATAAAGGCATCTGCGGTATGTTACAGGCTCAAATACGAGACGATTTTAAAGGCTCAAATATGAGATGAATTTAAAAACAAGTACCTCGGGGACGAAATTACACGGTAAACTACCAGTTACCAAAATCCATTTGTTAAAAAAAGCTGTGCACATGTGTCATAGTGAAATTTATTTTAATATTTTAGTAAATTTCGAAACACAAACCTGGTTAACCACCACATCAGAAATGGCTGCGTGAATGCTATAAAAAGTAATAAATATATTTTACGCTTTCGTCCACCCTCTTCAGTGTACGAGCTCTGCATATCCAGGATGAATGTCTTCACGGTACGTAGCTTAAAAAAAAAAAGAAAATATGAGAGGAATTAGCCTAAGCTGCTTTGGCATGAAATTATGAAAAATCAATTTGGCTGGTGAAATGCAACACTTCGATTTCAATGTCCCTACTATTATTTAAGCTGTGCTGAATTTACTGAAAGACAAGTTCAAAAAAAAGACATACCAAAAAGAAAACAACAGCAAAAGATGTATATGCTAAGACCCAATAATAGGTAATTTTACCACCTACAATAAAAGCCAACAAGCTAATATTCATCCTGAAAAAAAAAAAAGAAAAATTAACGTTCACAGTAAGAACGCAACGGCAAAAATTCACAGTAACACACATCTATTCATATATTTTTATTTTTTCTTTTACGCATCTCACAACCATACTTTGCAAATTCTACCAGTAAACTACCCAACCGTTGTCAGAAGTTTGCCTTTACTAAGAAGATCGAATGCGATACAGCAAAGCACACATAAGTCCTGAGTGCCAGTTCTGCCAGGTACACTGACAGCAATTTCGAACAAAAATAAATTAACAAACTTCGATACATTAAGCTTCAGTGTGAATCTTACTTTCAGCTTTTCAATAGTAGTTGTTCAGTTTGTCACATAATATGTTAATTTTTTAATTTATGGTTCTTTTGTTAGAAATGGCGTAAGGAACAATTGCGTCACTATGATGCAATACCTCGGTCCTCGGTTTAACCTTTGGGTGCCTTACCACGTCAAAGTTTTGCAATCTTAGTGATCTCTGACCACTGGATTATAAAAAGCACTTCTACCCATTTCCGGGATTCACAGCTACTTCACTGTTTTAATCCAGCTTCGGCTCCCCAGAACCTCGCAACTCTTTCTGTATTTTTGTTCTTATTTTACTTTACGCTGCATAACTTTGGTTAATATACATGCAATTATAAATATGTGCATATATAATATATATATGTACACATACATCCATATACATATATATATATATATATATATATAACTAGGAGTTTCGATACACAGATACACACATACGCACACACTTGGCACGCTACTAGTTTAGCAAGTTAACTTTTAGGGTCGCGATAACAGTAGAGACTATTGAATGATCGAAATTTTATCAAGCTCAGCAGTACAACTGCCTCTGCCAAATAGTTTG